CAGTAGTAACTAATCCCTCGGCTTTCATTTTTTCGAAAGTTGGTAAATTTTGCTGGTGGGGTTGGGAAAATTTGGATTCCCTCCTCCCCCCTGGTATTTCTTTTCGCTGCGGCCCTGCGCCCTGGGTATGAAATATATCGGAAATACATTATCTTGTACGAAAGTGTTTGTCAATATGAATGTATACATATGAGTTTTCTATATTTGAACTAAAACAACCATCAATGAATGAAAATATCAAAATATCAATAATATGAAACAAATATACAGTGTGATCGAACTCAAATGAGCACTATTGCTAACTTCTCCATTGTTGAAGATGCGAGTTCTGTTAAATTATTGTTTTTCCGCCGATTAACGTGATGCTAATAGAAAAACAATTGAACATCGCGTTTTCGGTTTATTTCAAAAAATGAATCAGCCGCATATTGGTTGCAATATTTGCAACCAATAATAAAAGTACGTGTTTTGAGTATTTTGTTTGTAACTCATCATGAAAGAGGATGTGAAATTATCGATTTAATGAATTTTCATTTTGACATTCATAAAGTTCATCTCGTTGATTTTTAAGTCAGTATGTTCCAATTACCAGAATGGTTTTTACTCATTAACAAAAATGTGACGTGCTTGAAGCATTCATAGTGTGTCAAAAAAATGCCAACCGTGCTCTTGAACGATGAATATATTGTTCATGAGCACGATATGTTTCCATACGGAATGGCAACAGTCGAAACGTTAGTAATAATTTTTCAGTCGACCTTTCCAATTATCGTTTCAATGCCACCAGAGAGCCAGTTCGTTAGCATCCCCGTTCTCCACCCATTCATTTTTATTTCTGGAGATTTTTGAAGAACAAGATAAATGAAAATCGGTAAGGTAGCTTGAATGGGTGTACCGTTTTGAGAGCTACAAGAAAAGTTTTGGGAACGAAGGAGATGTATTCGAATATTCAATATGCTTCCCAACAATAATTCGAACAATTCAACCGAGGCATATTGTTTTGTTTCAATTATGAATTTCATTGAAAACTTGTCGAAAAGTGAGAATGGCACATAACTCTGTAATTTTGGTCTTAAGAAAAATTTCATAATAACATTCCAACTTCAAAAAAGAGTTAGCAATCGAATAAGTCAGAAGTGAAATAATCTGAAGAAATTGTTTCATTTTGAAAGAATTCGATGGTCAATTGTTTTTTCTGATAATAAAGAAGTTAGCAATAGCAAATAACATTTGTGTTCGCAAATAAGAATATATGAACTCTAAAATATACAAAAATAAAAATTTATATAAACTTAAACGACATTAAAAAAATACAATAATCATAATATTCAAAGCATATAATTATGTTTTTCTACACCCGTACTCTAACAATACACTTATATGACCATAATCCGTTTCATAATGATATCCAGTTAAGATTAATTATTATAC